GAGAGAGAGAGGGGGAGGGCATTCTTGTTGCACAAAGAGCAGATAAATGGAGACATATTCCTCAAGGAGGGAGGAGAAATGAATGATTCTTAGCCAGAAGTGGGGATGAGAACAAAGAGGAAGAAAGGACAGGATGGAATCAGTAATGCTTAAGGATGCCTTGCCTAGACATTTTGTGACTCAAAGGGTAAAGGCGTGCTCCCTTTGCTCAACACATAATTATTGGGATCGGGAGCGAGGTCAGATCTTGGAGCGGGATCAGGACTGCAGGATCAAGAGATGCATGAAGATTCATGAGATGGGGTTGAGATCCGTATCGTGTGACTTAATGGGTCCTAAACCTCCACTTCCCCCGCTATCCTCTCTACCCCTTTGACAATGTTCCCTTGTCTCCTTTACCACCGCTGCAACCACCTCAGCCCCTGATACTTCTGCCACCGGCACCTTTGTTTGCACCCGCGTCCCGGACGGATGCCTTACAACAACCCAACCTTGAACCCCCTCTCTCTCTCCCTTTTTCTCCCAGTCTCGCTCTTTCCCGCCCTCGATAGATACTCATTTTTCGCTTGATACCAATCCGCCATCTACCACTTCTTTCTTCGGTCTCGCAGTGCCACACCTTCCTCAGGTCTTTAGAACGCCAGAGGTTCAACCTTTTTCCCAGGCGGAGACCTTTACCCCTATGGAGTGGCCTACCTTCCCTGCAGGTATTCTGGTAGTGGAATCCGTTGATCAAACCCCCCTAACCCGGGGCTATTAGCCTCTCTTTTGGCCCCCCACCTTCCGTATACCCCCATTTTGATCCCCATCTGTTGTATAACGATGGTTCGGATGGCCGTCTTTCTACCTCCCCAAGCAGCCCAACTAGCTTATTAGACCATACTTCTATTGGCCACCACCGTCGCCGTTTCCCCTTGCTACCTTCCCTCCTCAGCCCAACCCCCTCTCTAACCTGCCTTTTATCGATCACTCTACACCAGCCTTGACTCTCTCGGACCTCCTCGCCCCACCCTACCCTCTGCAACCATCTTCTCACCCCCTTTATTCCTTTTCTTCTTCTTCCACATCTGACCCAACTTTTTCTTCCCTGGAGGCTTCAGCCTCTCTCCTCTCTTTGAACCCTCCCTCTCCACCCCGTTCCCCCTCTTCCCCTCTTTCTGACTCGTACCCACCTCTCCCCATTGACCTTTACCCAAATAACCCCTTCGAGGAACCCTTAGCGTCAACTCCTCCACCTACTGGTCCAACCCCTTCTTTTTACTCATCGGGCAACTTTTCCACATCCCCTCCGACGACTTCTTTGGTGGGCTCTGCTTTTGTTGACGGAATAGATCGCGGCTAGGCAAACTTCAAGGAACTCCTTAAGGTCATGGTCTTCCCGCACCTGGACTTGAAGGCCCACTTCATTGTTTTTTCGAGGCGGACGCAAAGTAGACTGAAGGTGAGAATCAAAGGGCAAAGAGAGGTTCTGAACCTTTATTCCAGCATAAACTATGAGAAACATACCCCCTTGGAGTTTTCAATAGTGCATGTGGTACAACCTAACCCCGCAGAGCCTTCTCTAAGAAGGTCCCCTAGGCTTGTACATCTTCTCAACCCTCCCAGTTCCTGATGAAGATTCTGTCATGGAACGTGAGGGGGTTGGGTCAGGACTGCAAAAGAAATGCGGTAAGGGATTTGTGCGCAAAGCATAATCCCACAATTCTAGCCCTCACTGAGAATAAGCAGCCCAACCCAACTCTGCAACTCATTCGTCAGGTTTGGGGACGAAGGCCTAGTCAATGGGTCTCCATGCCAGCAATTGGGGCTTTAGGTGGCATTTGGGCTGTCTGGAACCGAACACTCTCTGGTTTCCTCCTTCCTGGGGGAATTTTCTGTTACATTTCTCTTGTCCAGAACGTCGGACGGGTACCTTTGGAAATTCTCGGCCATCTATGGCCTGAACTCTGCAGCTCAACATTCCTTTCTATGGAACAAACTTGATCGAGTAGCCAACCTACCCCACCCCGCTTGGTGCCTTGGGGGGGATTTCAACATCACAAGATGGTCATTTGAAAGAAACTCCAACTCCAACAACTCGCAAGGGATGTTGGATTTCTTTGACTTCATCTCTCGTAACGAGTTGCTAGACATTCCCCTTCAGGTTATCCAATTTACTTGGTCTGACCACGCCTCAAACACTACCCTCTCAAAACTAGATAGGTTTCTCGTATCTCTGAAATGGGATGAAGACTTCCATGATTCTCTCACTCTTTGACTCTTCCTAAGCCTACCTCTAACTACTGGGGCATCCTCCTAGATACTCTCGCAATCCAAAGAGGCCCGAAACCTTTTCGCTTCGAACTATCTTGATTGGAAGAATCATCCCTATCCTCTCTAATTCCAATGTGGTGGGCATCTTACTCCCCCTTAGTCTCGGGTAGGGCTGGGTTCATCTTGCAAAAAAAGATCCAACTTCTTAAGGCCTCCCTCAAAACCTGGTGTAGAAATATCCCTAGAAATTTCTCACACAAAAAATGTACTCTCCTAGCCTTGATCTTGATCCATAATCTTGACATCTTGGAGGAATCTCGTCCCCTCTTGACCTCGGAAGCCAACCTGAGATCCCACCACAAACAGGAATACCTGTCCACCCTCAAGAAAGAAGAGATCCATTGACATCAGAGATCGAGGGTTAAAATGGTTAAACCATTGGGAGTTTGGGACAACAATATGGGCTTCTTCCACCGCATAGCAAACTGCAGGAGAAGGAACAATTCAATAGCCACAGTAAAAGAGGACAATACCATCTTGGACCAACCTTCTCAGATTGAAGCAACAATCCTCTTCTATTTTAAAAACTTTTATTCGGCACCTTTAGACCCAAGACCCAGGATGGGTGACCTTAATCATATACCTTTTGGTTGGGTATAGTGGTTAGAGCGCCCTTTCTTAGAGACCGAGATTCTCACAGCAGTCTCAGCCCTGGGGAAAGACAAAGCACCAGGGCCGGGCGGCTTTCCTGTAGCTCCATTCCTCACCTTTTGGGAAACTTTCAAGTCTGATTTATTGAACTTCTTCCAAGAATTCTTTCACAAGGGCATATTGCATAAAGAAATGAACGCCACTTTTATTGCTTTAGTCCTCAAGATTGAGGGTACTGAGGAACTCAAAGACTGTCGGCCCATTAGCCTAGTGAATTCCTCTTACAAGATACTCTCCAAAGTACTAGCCTCTAGACTTAAAGAAGTGCTCTCGTTTGTGATCTCTCCCTCTCAGAACACTTTCATCAAAGATAGGCAAATACTAGATGGGGTTTTGGTAGCACATGAATGCATCCACTCTAGGCATCACTCAAACAAACCATGCTTTATATTCAAGATCGACTGAGAGAAAGCTTATGACCATGTTGATTGGTCTATCTTGGAAGAAACTATGACAAGAATGGGCTACGGGTTGAGATGGCGTAAATGGATGAGGGTCTGCTATTCTAATCCTTCATTCTCAGTGCTCATTAATGGCTCACCCAAAGGCTTTTTCCCATCCTCAAAGGGTCTTCGGCAAGGAGACCCCCTATCCCCATTTCTCTTTGCTATCTCAGCTGAAGTCTTTAGCCAATCTATCTCCCGTCTTTACCAAGCCAAACTCCTTTCAGGCTTCAAAAGCTCTCCCAGAGGTCCAACCATAACTCACCTTCAGTATGCAGACAATACACTCGTCTTCACTGACGCTATTCCCGAGGAGATTGCTACCCTACGCCTCTTCTTCAGATGCTTTGAATTTGCCACTGGGTTCAGAGTAAACATGGAGAAATCCACCATGATTGGGGTGGCTCTAACCCCTGCTAAAACCAGAGCTCTTATTCCTGATTGGGAGTGCTAAGTGGAAGACCTCCCAACCAGTTACTTAGGCATGGGAAAGCCTAAAAAAAGGCAGTGGTCACACGATGTTGATAAGGTGGACTGTTGCCTAACAGGATGGAAAGGCCATTATCTCTCCTTTGCTGGCAGGTCTACCCTTATTAAGGTGACCTTGGCTAACACCCTTGTTTATCTGATGTCCCTTTTCCACATGCCAGCAGCCATTTCAAATCGCCTAGAACAGCTCATGAGGAACTTC